GGAAGGAAGCGGCCAAAGACCCAAAATGGCAACAGCTTCCTTGAGGTTTCCGTACGCAAACTCCAACCCCAACAGGGCAAAGAAGCAACAAGTGGCGCACCCGCAGGGATGGACACAGTCTTGTTGATGCGATCCCCAGCATGCCCCTTGGGATGGCCTTGAAGCTCAAGCCAAGCTTTTTAGCATGAGACATGGTTGATGCAGGAGCCTTAAGTTTTCAGGCCGCTTGTTGACATGTGGCACATGGCTTAGTGTCCAAAAGGAATCCACGAGAATAGAGCTGCCAACAAAGGAATCCCCACTTGTACATCAAGGATATTGAGTAAGGCCAACAAGGAGTGAAGACCACCCCGCAATGTCAACTTGGTTGGTGCAAGCAAGGGCAGAAACAATCCCACAAGTGGTCGTTTGCGCAGGGCGCAGTGGCCGTGAATGCAGACACGTTTGCAAACAAAGCCCTGTGCTGTGGGCCCAGAAACTTGTCCTGTTTGTTTGATACCCTAGTTGCTTTGAGCACAGGGCCGCCCGATCATGGACATCAGTTCTCATGTGATTGATGATTAAACACGGGCGTGTGTCCAAATTTTGGTATCCTCGTATATGTTCCCTTTGAATCTCCATGAAGAAAAACACCAAAACCCAAAAAAGGTACCCTCCAACAAAAGAAAAACAAGAAACCAGCCAAAGGGATGGAGATCTGTTCGCCCTCCATCGCTCGAAGAGTTTGGCTTCAGGGACCCCTGCAGGTGTTTGGTTTCCGTTTGTTGACCCCAGATCCAGATATGGCACCGCTGTCCCCAAATTTGGGGAAATCAGCTACCGGGGTTGAGTCTACCCTGGAATAGCTACAAAATGAAGCCCTACCTCCAGGCGTGTGATTTCCTAGTCGTTTCCCAGACCACAAGGAGGGACGGACCACTGCATCAGCATCGGTACAAAAAACCATGAGGAGGGCTCTACTTTTGACCCATGAGCCGCAATCAAAAGCAAGGCAGACGAAGGAAAGTGAGGAGCAGTCCCAGCCAGACAAACGTGCGCACGCCTTGGTTCTTTTCATGGATTTGGGAAGCTCCTTCAGTAGCAGGCCCAGGTTTTAATTACGGCTCTCATTGCAATTCGCGTGATTCTTTAGTGGGGAGCCTACATCTCTCAAATGCTGGGTTTCGTGTTGCTTCCCTTGAAACACGGCTAAAGATAAAGCGAAAGCCAACTGGACATGACTATGTCTTGCCTTGAGAACGCCCTTTTCATGGTTGTTGTTGGGAAACATTTTACATTTTCGCTTATTGTGGTTGAGTGGTTGAAATCCAAATCCACTTAACTGCCAAACTGTTCAAACCTTTTGCTCCCCAAACCCAAGGTCAACCAAGTTTTTGTTGGCTTTCAATACCAAAGCCCAGCGCGGCAAACGCGCAGGTGACGTTGGTGGAGAGGAGCCGATTCGGAGAGCCCGGGCCATGGATTCGGGATCCGTGCTTGGAGAGGATCGAGACGCTTGAAACCAAAGCGAATCGACTGGAGTTGACCTTTTGGCTATATTTTTTTCAGTTTCCCCGGCTTGGCGTATTTTTGCTCAGCTATCCCTTTGTGTTTTGGATTTGACCTTGGGGTGTTTTTTTTTTCTTTTTTTCTCGGTTTTATCGGTTTGGCGTATTTTATTTTATTTTAAGGTAACTCTTTGGGTGTTTTGGACTGGTGGCTTGGGATTTTGAACCCGGGAAACGCCTCGCCAAACCCCTCCAAACCGCCGGAGGGATGCTGAATTTTAGTCGTGGCAGAGGCCTCGAGTTGTGCTTTGAGGCCTAGAGGAGTTCTGGTGTCTCAGGTTTCCCAAATTGGGGAGGCGAGGTTAGGTTCCACCCACTTGACCTGTTCTGAGCAACTGCATGATGCAACCTTTGTGTGGCATGGTGATACGTTCAACCGTTTTTTGCTGCAGTCAGTGCGGTGGACACTTTGGAGAGTTCGGCTCAACGGATTTTACCTTGGAGAGTCAGTCATGTTGAGCGGTAGCGCCTCCAGGAAAAACATCGGTCATGTTCTCCTCGTAAGGTCGACTGAAACCTAGAGTGCTTGATCGTCTTGGAATTGAAGTCTTGGACATTTAGTAGTCCAGAGTCGGAAGCTCGGCAAGAATCAAAATCAAGGAAAGGCTTGTTGCTGTTTTCAGATTCTGAAGGTTTGTTTGCGTTGCCGTCGAAGGCGCCTTTTTTGTGCGTGACCGGGCCCCTGTGATGTCACCGCGCCGGGCGCTTTTTCGGTCCCGGTGCTTAGGTTCTGCAAGCAGCACAGGCGCCCATTGAACGTGAGGAGCTGAGAAGTCCTTGCCTCTTGCTCCCACGCAACTCCTGATTTTTCCCCAAGACGCCCAATTAAGTTGTTCTGCCATTTTGGAAAACCGTTTCTTAGGGAAACCCTTTGAAATCCCGAGGGTGTTTGATCCCGGCAGATCGTAAGCTTTGTTTGCCGCATTTGGTTTCTCAGGCTTTGATTAAGCAGACGCCGGCATTGCTGAACAAGTCCTTCTCACCACTGCCCCGGCCTTGGCTTTCAGCAGGAATGGGAAAGTACGGGAATTTTGGACGTGGTGTTTCGGATGCGCAGGCCGGGTCAAACAGACAGATTTAGGGGTTGGAGACACCCCCACAAAGCATGAGCATGCAAGGCAAGAGTACGCGTGTGTGTTTGCACCCAAGAGGCGAGGGGAAGCGGTGCAAAACTGGGCTGGCCGGAGCGGCAGGCTGAAGCACATGCCCCATTGCCTCGACTTCGACAACAAACGAGCATATTTCAGATCACAGCTCAGGCTGGGCGCGAGGGTAATTCAGATTGCAGTCTGAGGATAGGGATACCCGCAAAATTACTTGTAATTCGCGTGGATCCCCAAAAGAAGTTCGGTCCAGGAGATTCTAACGACCACATTTGGGGTTCCATGTTGACCTTCGGGAGGTGGTCGGCGGGTGCTGCTTTGCGCAGGTCCCGTCGCATGGAGAGTCGCTATGAGACTATCCGCCTGCGAGTCAGGCGAGTGGTCCTCGTGTGAGACCAGAATCTCAGGGTTGGTGACGCAAATTCAAAACGTTGGTTTCCTTTTGAGCGATGCTTACAGGGGAATTATGTTTTGTGTTGTTCTTTTTCTTTTTTTTTCTGTGTGACAATGTGGGTATGTGTTTCAAAAGTGGGTACCCTTTTTGCTCGTTTCAAGACGAAAACATGCGACCGCCAAGCCTTTTTCGAGTTCCCTGATATTTTGTGGAGACATGTCACAAAATCCGGGCTTTGCGGATTTGTTGCAGCTTGTTTTTGGCTTTCCTTTGAACCTGTCAGCCGTATCCACAACCCATTCCCTTCGTCGCGAAGGCGAACGGAGATCTTCATGGACTCTTATCACCAGCTGCACCCAGCTCAGGATCTGTCAAATCCCCCAGGAGGAAAAGAGGTATCATTCATCGCGCTCGAAGTCTATGATACAATGCCTGTGAGGTTTCTGTTTATATAGAGCATACACATATTGATATGAGAGGTTGTATACCCCATGTTTGCCAGGGCGGGGTAGTGATTCAGTAGTCTGGGAGGGGGGGTAGCGGAAGCTGTGCTCAGGCGCAGGAGGACAGGGGAAGAGATGCGCGCGAAGATCCAGGTGCGAGCTACCATGGGAAAGCGATGGACATCGGGTTTTGGCAGCCACTTTTTGAGATATCGAAGGCAGTTGCCCAAAAAGGTGACAAAATAGTGACAAGGATGGTCCACTTTGTTATGAGAGAAAGGTTTATTTCCCACAAGCATGGTGGATACTGACCGGCCGGCGCACGTGCCAACACTAGTCAACGACGAAGACGTCCTATCGATGAATGATCTTCAGCTGGAGCGCAAGTTCCCGGCCGATGGAAAGTTTCACAGGGTTGTGGTGAGATCAAGGGGTTTATCCCCACTTCTGTGATACATCCCCGCTTTATATGGGATTAGTTTTGCTATTCTGACCATTTTGCCTGCGTTGTTCCTGGACAGGTCCAATTCCAGGGAGAGGAAGGCGAGTGGCTCAGTATCAAGTGCGAGCTTGGTGAATTCGCAAGCTGATTGAGAGAGCCTCAACTTCAGGCATTGATGCGGGCGGCGTTGGCAAGGACATTCGGGGAAGGAAACCTGGCAGTGGCCTGACCTGGCGATGGATTTCTAAAACGAGCCCAGTCTTGGCGGCTATTTGGTTGGATCTTTAATCTTCAACTTGTGGGAGACATGTGTTTGTTCACGTTAATCCTTTAAAATTTACCTTGTTTGCGCAGGGGGCAATAGCCACCAAGTAGTGGACGATGATCTTTTCCCTGACAAGAGCTCTTGTATGCATTGATCAAGGTCGCCCAACGTCATTTTGCCAGGAGTGGTATGGAGCGCTGGCGAAGGAAATCTTCAACCCCAACTATGCTCGGGACAAAGCATGACCATGAGACCGAGCCACCTAGAAACATGACCAGGGCCCCGATGGCCAATGACACAGCCGCAAAGGGGGTTTCAGAATCACGTTCTGTGATACCAAAGGCCCCACTTCAAAGTGACACTCACTCCAGTTTCTGGACTTTATACTTTTTGGGCACAAAGTTTGGTACCTTTGGCTCGGAAAGGGTCAGCTCCCGTGAGAACCGTGGCCTGGATCGATGCATTCCGAGGCGCTGTTCGTACAAGCGGGGGGCAAGGCCTGCACCTACCATCCGAATCCCATGCCGGGACCTTGATGCGGAGCGCCCTGGTTGGTCGAGCGTCCCTTTGCATCCATCCATTCTTTGTGGCTCCCAGCCATTCCAGCTTAGTGATTTTTTAGGTTATGAGGGTTCGGCGGTATCCATTTCACTCACTAAAAATTAAACCTTCAGTAGGGATCTGAAGGCAGCCCAACGTGGTTGGCATAGAAGCCATTATTGTCGCTACCTCACATGTTGAAATGCGATTTCGCACATGCTTGCTTTTGCTGTCTGGCTCAGCCCTCGCCCGCTGGGCTGTTGTCAGCCACTGCTCAGGTCCTACGTCACTAGGGACCATCTGGACTACTTCCATTTCATTGGGCGCGTCATTGGCAAAGCCATCCACGACGCCCAGAATCTGGAGGCAACGGCCCGTGAGATGCGACTGAGCTTGCTCGCCGCTTTTCTTGATTCCTGCTTGCTTGCGTGCTTGCTTGCTCGTTTGCCTGCTTGCTTGCTCGCCCGCTCGCTAGCAGCTTTCTTGCTTGCTCGTTTGCCTGCTTGCTTGCTCGCCCGCGCGCTAGCATTCTTCTTGCTTGCTCGTTTGCCTGCTTGCTTGCACCTTTCTTGCTTGCTCGCTTGCTTGCTTGCAAAGACTCCATGCGGCTTCTTTTGATCAGATGACAAGGGCAACTTCGATTTGGTACAACGACCTCGCCGAGATAAGCTAATGGCAACTCCCCGAATCAAGAAACGCAGGCGGTCACAGCCCGCTGCAAGCCCCGTGCTTCCCAGAGTGAGAGGCCTGGTTCACTCGCGGATTCTACAAGCACATGCTTGGCAAGAAGGCGCGTCCAAAGAGTCGAGGTGCCGGGGGTTCGGGGCTTCTGGCTGTCCTGCGATTTCTTCTCATGGGTAGTTGGGATTTGCACGTGGGACCTGGTTCACTGTTCTGCAATGCATGGAATGTGTGTCCATGACTTGGCGGGAAAGAGGTCACCATCGCAACCGCAACTGAGGTGATTGCGGCCGACTTGGAGGCGTTTGATCCAGAGTACTTCTCCAACCTGAAGTGGATGCTGGACAATGCCTGGCGCCAAGAGAACCGCGTCTCGACCTGGGTGTAGCTTCTGTTTTCTTCACCCAGGTTTGGTTCGATTGAACATGCGCCAAGTTGTGCAGCCCGTTTTTGGGAGAGTAGTTCGAAGACTTGGGACTGGGAACCAACCATCATGTGGTTTTGTCGTTTTTTTTGGTGCTTCACCAGGATTGCCCACGCCCAAATTCTGAAAGATGTCTTTGCTAACCATGGTTGTTGCTTGCTTGGTTGATTCGTGTGGAACGAACAGTAGCTGAACCTCAAGCATCCAGTATTGAGAGGTGTATTTCTTTGGCCAGGGCCTTGTGCTTCGTAATCGCCAGGCTAACATGGAAGCTCCCAGGAGCCCCGAAATGGAAGACTTGGAGTCTGAGGGAGCGTGATCGCCACACGCCATAGCTTGTAGCTGACACCCCAGCGGATCTGTCGCGGCTCACATGGAGGTGATGAGCTTTTCTGCCGCCCGACTGCCAAAGGCAAACAGCCGGGAGGTGAGGGGTCCCATTTGCTGAAGAATGGGAATCTACCACTTCTGGCCATGTTTCTGCTTTCTTTGGGGGGGGGTATCCGCGACAGAGCGGACTGCCAAACGGCATGAGGACATTACCGAAGTGGTGGAGCCCTACTTCTGTGCCGAAAGCGACGAGCTGGGCCAGATGAAGGCAGATCTTCAAGTGGTCAAAAGAAGGGGCCCATATTTTTTCCCCCGTTTGAAGGAACCTAGAATGATAGAAAGGGGTACCTCGCAAGACCCAAACCCGAATGCTCTTGGGTTACAAGACCTGGCTGCTCAGGATTGGGGCTGGTTGTTCATCCATTGGGCCATTGGGGTCGGGGGGTTGGACCAATCGTTCAAACTAGAACGGCTTTTAAGGGAAGTATATAGGCAACCCATTTTTGCTCGGATTTTGGAAGGCCCTCCACTTTTGCATCCCGTTTTGGTCTTTCGCTGTCCTTGTCTTTTTCCCCAACGACGTCCACAGTGCACCTATTTTGGTTGACGCGCGAGGTGGTTGACCTGAAGCCGAACGGCCGAAATCTGCCGGGACCTGGATCTGGGGCCAATTTTTCATCTGACAAAGCCGTCATGGGATGGGAGTCCTACTTTGAAGTACTGAGCCCAAGTGGATTTCCCCATGCGTTGAGTTGATTCCGCAGCTATGTTAAAAGCGCCATGATTAGGACGAGCAAGTTGGCATTTCACCAGTTTCACCGATTGCACAATTGAACCAATAGGACTGCACCGTGATTCGAGGCCCGTGACCAACGAGAACAAGTACGAGTACATTCAGCTGATGGCAGAGCACAAGATGTCCGGCATCCAAGATGGTTGTTGGCCATGAGCGTGGATGTGTTTTTGCACCCAGGACGAAATGCGTGCAGCAGCAGATCGACGCCTTCTTGAGAGGTTGGACAGACGCCTTGTCTGGAGTCGCATGAGATTGAGCAATCAGAGCATTTAGATGTCAGCGCGTGATGCAGCAAAATGCTGGCAGGCCTTCACGAGATAGTTCCTCCTGAACTGCTGTCACTCTTCGACGTGTATCTGGCACAGTTGTTTTCGCTGAGATTGCAGCATCCATTTACATTGTAAATGCTTGCAAGGAGCTTGCCACCACCCACTGCTGCATACTGCTGTTTAAGTTGTCAACCAGCGTTCGGCAACATGTCCAGAGCTCATTCTGCTATGATTTGCACTTGTGCGCCCCTTAAGCATGGATGGGTGGACATAAACCCCCTTATAGATGATGCCCGCCCAAGGGTCCCTAATCAAGAACACCCCCCCAAATGAAACAGCTGCCATAATTGTCAGATCCGATGACAGGACAAAGAACTGGAGCTGCTCATTTCCGGCCTGCCGGACATTGACATCGAGGAGGGGCTGCATTGGGCCTACTGAATTCGCTTATGCATCGGCAGGTTGGGGCCGAGCCCCGTATGAAGCCGCAACTTGTTTGGCTCAATAGGCTTTGGTTCATGAACTAGCGCCCTTCGAAACCCAACAGAAATCCTTTTCGCGAAGCCGCGGAAGCCGCGGAAGCAAGCAAACACCACCAAACAAGCCCTCCTGCTTCCTTTTTTATGGGTCACCGCGCGGTTTTCTCACTTGTTTGTCAGACCCCCTCGTATGTGTTTTTTTCCGCTTTTTCTATCCCTTCTGTTTGTGATGGATCTTCCATGTTCGGGTAGAGGGTGCAACAGCCTTCGCTTGCGCAGGCAATACTGTTTCTGGCTTACTTGCTCTTTGCCAGTGGCATCGATCTGAAGGCTCCCGGAGCAAATGTCCTCCATACCGCCAGACCAAAAAAAACAAAAAAAAAACAACGAGAATTTGGTCCTGTTGGAGCCAATATCCCCCCTCCACCGAAGGTCCCAGGGAAATTGGTCCTCCAGATCTCCAGCCTGCTGTTGCGTCCTCCATACCACCTGACAACAAAAAAACTACAAGGACATTGGTCCTGTTGGGAGAAAGGGCCTGCGCTGTTTCTGTCAGGACCTGAAGGCCAACACCGAATACCACAACTATACTCCGCAGTCGATGGCTCAGATCGCCTGACAACTTACTCCTTGTTTCTCTTCTTTTTTTTTTTTTTTTCGGATGAGACAAATCGGCCAAAGGGAGGCCCAAAGGAGAAAGCATCATGTTGGTTTGGTCCCATTTTCCATTTTCTCCCATGACGCATGCCATGTAAGGGGCCTTCGGGCTCGGGGGGGGGGGGAAAACATCTGCCAGCGCTCATGTGTGTCTGTGCGCGCGCGCTCGCCTCGCGACAGGTCGGATCAAATTCAGTGGCACCCGCCTCGGATATAGCCGCTTCAAGGGCCCCGGGCCCTTGCAGACGCTTGTAGACATGTGGCAACTTACAATCCAAACCCTGAATCAGGGGCAGTGCCTACCAAACATATTAGGTATGTCCTTTTGGTTGAGGGTACTCCTTGTTGGTGGTTTTAGAGGGAACCAAGAGGAAATCCACAATATTATTTTTTTTGGCGGGGGGGTCCCCAAATTTGGTTCTCTACATTGTGGGCAGACCTCCTGGATAGGTGTTGATGTGGACTCAGCTGACGTCCGAGGTTCTGGAAGGTCCTCAGCGAGTTTAGTCAAGAGCAGCGAGCCTGGTCGCTCCCCCAGACCACTTGACCACTTGACAGTTGGTGGGTGTCCTTTCAACACGCAGTTAAGCTGGCTTGCAGGCTTCATGCCGTTCAACGAAGCTTTTTTGCGTTCAAAATGACGTGGAGAAACGCAGAAGGTCGCCCCAGCCAGAAAACTCGCCTTTTTGGACGCCGGGAATTGCGCATGACTGCTGATTGAGGTTCCTGCAATTTGCGACTGGAACGTCCAGGGTGCCAGTCGAAGGATTCAAGGCGGGCAAGCTGTCATGTCTGGAAATTCGATTGGAAGCCCAAGATTGAATCAACCCCTAGTCGATGAACAGCGCGGTTATGAATTTGCGGTCGACACTAGCAGCATTAAACAGGCGACTTGCAGCTCCTGTGAGTTCCTAATCGTGGTCTATCACACATTCATCCGCCACAAACACGCAAGTGTCAGAACATAGTAGGAATATGCACACCTTTTGAAGGTGAGCGTCCTGTTGTTTTCGCCGAACGGTTCGCCCCTCAGGGCCTGGTCGGAATGCGCGGTCCACAGAAGTTCTGCATCCATCGCGCCTACGGACCTGACCGCCTGCCCTCCGCAGCGGGCTTATGCCGACGGTTTTGTAGTCGCTGCCGGTCACTGGTACAAATCAATGTGGCTGTGGGTCAACACCAATGGTACCATTTGGGGGTAGGTGCACCACCCATTTTAGTCTATTTTAGAGGGGGTTCGGATGTTCACTGGGGGTACGATTTGGATTTTGACCCATGGTCCTGGAGCCAGCCTTGTCCAAAGTTGCGCGGTTTAGGTCCCAACCCCAGCCTTCAGCTATCGTTTGTTAGTCCAGGAAACTCCACGGGTAACGTTGCCACACGAACTAGGGCTCCTTCACCTCGGCGGTCGCCTTTGCAGTCTGCTTGACATTTACGGGCTCGTGTTTTCTGTGGGGGAACCTTTCTTGGGCTGTTGCCACATGTCCGTCTTCTTTGCTTTCGGGCTCATGGCTCCAAGTCTTTGGGCCGGACTACGAACTTTTAACCAAACAGAGACACATTTCAGCGCATCCTTGTCCCAGCCCTTGATACAAGTCATTTGACCGTGGCTCTCATGGTCAAGGAGTTGTTTTAATGCAGTTGCCTTACATTCTGGAATGGATCCGGAAAGTGTTAGGCAGTGATGCCAACATATTCTCGATGTAGACTTTAGACCTGAGCGGTTCAGACGGCAAAACGCTTGTTCCACTGCTCATGGGTGTGCGGGTTCTTTTAGGGTACTGTATTTAGTAGATTGGTAAAAAGGAAAGCAAAAAGAAAACATAGGAACAGCACCATTTTGTTTGGTGGGGTGTACCCCCTCCTTTGGTTGACACATTGACTGATCTGTATCATCACTATTGGACCTCTCAACATCGGCCCATTGCATTCCCCTACTGTCCACGCGCCCATCTTTCGAGCGCCCATTTCACCCAAGCTGACTTTGGGTTCTACCAGCATGGTAAGCTTTAGGCCTGGGTTTACTGTAAGCCATATGAAACAAAATGAAACTTTTTGAGAGCCCATTAGCCCAAGCTGACTTTGGGTGAGCCTGGGTCTAGTGTAAGCCTGAAACAAGGTAGTAGGACTACCCACAACGGCCACCAAGCTCTCTTGATGATTGGTTGCCAAGCAGACGTGGGGTCCCCGCAGGCCCACACCTGCTTCAACCAGCGCGGAGCTCGACAGCGGAAGCATCCATTTGCTGGCTTTGTGTGTGTGTGTGTGTGGGTGTGTGTCGTGGACAGAAAATCGCATTGGGTTTCTTTGGTGCATGTTGCCAAGGGATGTTAGGACTTTAACTTTTTGCCACCTAATGGGTTTTCCGTATTAAACCACAACAAGTTAAACTTTTAGCAGGGGAGCAGAAAGCAACCGCGGTTTGCCTCAAAATAGGGGATTCCGCAAATTGTGTGGCTTGCCTTGAATTTGGTTTCAACAGCCCAAGAAAGGTTACCCCACGGAAAACACGAACCCGTAAATGTCAAGCAGACTGTTGCAAAGGCGACCGCCGAACAGGTGAAGGAGCCTGAAAGTAATATGCGGATCCTAAAATGGGACACCCCACACCCCACCAAAGTCAGCCAGACGTTGATTTGTGTCCATGTTTTTTTGGAGGGTAGCCCATGTTTGCAGGTTTTGTTCCAGGGAATCCAAAGGACGATCACCATTTTGGGGGTACCCCCAAAAAAAGACAGACCTACCCATTAGCCGCAGGCTAGACCTCCCGGACTACCCGTCAGAGGAGGTGCTGAGGGAAAAGCTTCTACAGGCCGAAAGCGCACGCTTTCGATTGAAAGAAGCACGGCGACTTCGGGTTCCTATGCGACGTCCGGCGAAGCAAAACACCAGCTCAATGTCAAATGGTGCTTTGGACGAATCCTTTCTGCTACCCTGGTTTCTTTCAGGAACCCGTTCTTGCCCGAAACGCTGTGGATTCCTCTTGTGACAAGACCAGCGCTTTTCGGCCCTAGGGCGTGGTGACTGGGTGTCCATTGAACACCACGAAAAGTGAGTTCCCAACCTTAGGATCGGAGAACAGAAAGGACCGCCCGGCTTGGAGTAGGGATCTGAAGTCCAAAGGAAGGCTCAACAAAAATCAATGTTATTTTTTGTTTATACACAAAACAAAATCAAGGTTATTTTTTTTTTTAAGCACAAAACACTTAAGCCAAAACCCGCTGGGGGGGGGGGGGTCTCCGCTCCTACCGCCACTTCCAGGCGGTTCATGAGGGCCACGAGGGCTTCGGCTTCGCCTGAAGGCGAGGCATCCCTTCGCCGTGGGCTTCTTCGATACGCTTCCGATGCCCACAGGGACTTTGAAACGTGTGAGGATTCCCAGGTTATTTAGGATTCCCAGGCTTGTACTCCACCTTTCTGAAACTAGGTCCTCCAGTAGTGCCCTTTTACTTATTTTTTTTGGGGGGGAGGGTTCCCTACTAAAATAGACTACAGAACAGAGGGTACCCTTATTCTAACCTCTTTAGTGGAGGACCTAGTTGTGTTGCCCCCGCCAGAGCTTATACTCTTTGGTGAAAGGGGTCTTGCGATCGGTGCGATTGGCAGGGAGTGAGAAATGGAATGATGCCCACATCCAACTGGTGGCTTCCTTTACGGGGAGCCCTTGGCTCATTACCTCATTCCCTACTGAGCACCACCAAAGGGGTTTTGAAACATGTGAGAGGATTCCCTGGTTATTTCCCCCTAACAGGGTTTATACTGTCCGGTGGTTTTTCCTAAAAAGAACGGGTCCACCCCCAAATGTGGAGGGATCCTTAGATTTGTCCCATGCAGCAAAAGGAGAAACAAAATTCGGATTTACCCGATGCGCTTTGAAAGTGGATTTCCTCACGAACGGTACTGGAATTGCCTTGATTGCTATTGGGCAATGCACCTTTAGACTTTAATTTCTTATTGGTTGAAATCATTTGGGTTTTCAAAATTGAACCCACAAAAAGTGTCAAACTTTTTGCTGAGGGGTCCTTCCAGCAACCAAGTTGCCCTCACAAAGAGAGCTGAAGAGACAGCCAGAATCCCGGTGCGCTTCACCGCAATCCGAGAGTCCGAGAGACGAGTGCCTGCGCCAGATTTGCGACCTGGCTGAGATTGCAGCTCTTTGCTCGAACTGCGTCCACTCCGTTTGCGGGCTTGGCAAGCAATGTTTTACGTTACAGTAGGTGTTTGCACTGCGTTATCTTCACCATTTGCATTGTTTCCAGCATGTGCATGCGAAGCCCAGACAAAGCTAGATAAGGCACAACATAGCAATTCTGAAACAATTCGAGATGGGTGACAGATGCGCCCTTGAAGCGCGTCCGGAGAGCAGAATGCTCCTTTCCTCAAAGGTTAAGCGTTGCCGCAGGTCTCAACCAGTCGTTCTGCCCAGTACAGTTGGGTGAAACTAGATGGCCCAATTCCCCCAATGTTGGTGTGGTCATCCTCCTTACTCTCTCGAGGGAATGATGCCATCTACCTTCTTTGTCCAGGTGTACCACTTTAATGCAACCTTTTGATGCGGGTGTTTGGCCATGGGGCTGCGCGCTTTGGACCTTGTCGGAGTTTTCACCGAACAAAGTTCGTCAAAGCTCTTGGGGCAGAAAACAGCTTGAGACCAATCAACAGATCAACCCGGTGATTTGTGGCAGGCAAGAGCTGAGTGTTTGCCTTTTGAAACGCACGCAAGAGGGCCACCAGCGAAAATGTGATGTCCGCCAGGGAAATGCAGGCTGCCTTTGTGATTTGTTTAGTAGTGTTTGTACAATGTGCAAATCACAGCCAACTTGTGTATTTGTGTGGCGTGTGTTTGCACCAGCTCCTGCTTCTTATTCCTTCATTGGTGCGGCTTTGTCTTTTGGCTTGTGCAGTGAGGGCATAAAATCGTTGCAGCCTTTCATGACTCTAGCAGCAGCTTCCCGTAGACATATGCTTGAGGCTCGGACCTCTCACACCGCAAGGAAGGTGTTGCGGCAGGGCCCCTCTAGCGTCCATTCAAAGTTGAAGGGAATGCAAACCACTCCACGCCCTCCCCTGCATTCCCCTGGACGGTATGGCAGATTGCAACATGTTCAGCTGATTCAAAGTGTTTGCAAGGGGCTAGATTAAAATCCTGTTATTTTCTCTGAGTCGTTCTGCAGTGGCAGGCGAAAGGCCTACAATGTTGATATACATGCATATGCTTTCCTTGTGACGCTTCATAGGCGCATTAGGCGTGTGGAGCATGGCGCGACTTGGGGGCAAGCGCCGGGATAGACGGTCCGGAAACTGATCCGAGGGTTGTTTAGAAGGGCTCCATAGATCGGGGATCCATTGGACTTAAACCCAGTGCTTCATTTCGCGGGTTCATTTGAAAGGCAAGCCCCGGGTTTGAGAACTTGCGGTAATCAAACAATGGAACCCAAGAGATGTTTGTCTCACCTGAGTTCATGAACTTTAAACTTGGAAGACCATTGTAGTGGCAAATAGAAAGTTTGGACGCGTTTTGGCCAGTCCACTCAGAAAGTGAGTCATAACTTCATTCTGCTAGAACCACTGGATTTTGGGCACCCACTTCTGCTGACCCTGCTCACTGACATCTTTGTCAGCTGCTTGCACGTTGCCCAGGCCACCGAATGCCAGCTGTTTGTGCGTTCGCGTTCGAGCGTTTGACTGCGAGACCGCGTGCGTGTGCAGCCTACGCATGCATCAACTTTGTGCTTGTGTGTGTGTGTGTCTGTATGTTGTTGTGTTTGTGTTTGTGTGTTTTTGTGTTTTCGTGTTTGCGGGTTTCGTGTGTTCGCGTTTGTGGGGTTCGTGTGAATGTGTGTTTGTGTGGTTTTGTTTGTGTGTGTGTTTTTGTCTGTGTTTTTGTGCTTGATTTTGCTTGAGCTTGGTTTTGCTTGTGATTGCTTGCTTGCTTGCTTGCTTGCTTGCTTGCTTGCTTGCTTGCTTGCTTGTTTGTACGGTGCATTTGCGGAGTGAGGCTCGAGTACAGTAGCCTATTGACGTGGGCGTAGCTATTTCTGTTCCAAAATGGCAGCGGCCACCAATGGAGCTACCAATGGCAAGGACTCGCTGACGTGCTTTCAGTTTGGTCAAAAGGAAGCAGGGCACTTGACGTTGGCTGAATACATGTTGCTTGCACAGCTTTGTGCTGGCATGGATCATCGCCTTTCAAATGATTTGTTGACCACATTGCAAGTTGCATGTGGTATGCAGGGTCGTGGTCCAAGTTTGCTTTGGCAAGGTGAAAAGCTTGAAGCAACCGTTAACCATCAATTCTACCCTTGCTTCCCGGTATGTTTTTTTTGCAGCTTTGAGCAACTGGTGGGACATTGTAGTGGAGGAACTTGCCAATATGTTTACAAGTTCACATTCCTTGGAAGCCATTGAAACGTAGCGGAAAGAAGAAAAAAACGCAGTGATGAAAGGACTGCAAGGAAGGAGACCCTTTGATTTCAATTGAAGCTTGAACGGAATAGTTGCCTCTTTGAGGGCTTTCCAACCCCTCCGTACGTAGCATGACATGGCAGGACCGCAGTCGCTCACCAAGGAAGGAGCTGTGCCCCAGCCGCGAGTGTGGGCATACTGTGGATGGACGAAATCCTGCACCACTTTGAAACATTGGAAACCATTGTTCGTTGGTTTTTACAGTGGAATCATCATTCCAGGGATTGTCTCGGGAGGCCGGGAGGCTATGTTTTTTGCTCGCGGCTTGGCTGGGTTCGCGGCTGATTGCTTGGTTGGCTGGTTGGTTGGTTGGCTGGGTTGGCGGGTTGGTTGGTAGAGTGGCATAACAGGGCAGAGCTGGTCTCAAGCCGCTTTTGCTCTTGCTGTAGAAATGGGGTGGGCTTTAGCTGGGCGCAGGCCTGTCTTGCGGTGGAAACAGATCAGGGGAAGACTGAGCCCGGTGATGCTGGGGATGTTGCGCTCTTCCCGTCCTCCTCTTTTGGTCACGGTCACGGTGCCAAGACCAGCCACTTCTTGCAGCGAGCCGCTCCTATCCAACAGCCACTACTCTCGGGGTTGATGATTCAAGGGAAATTCCAGGGAGATTGGTTTAGGGAAGCCAGGCCTCCTGGTTCCCAGGGTTCCCCAAACTCATCCCACATCGCTGAGGAAGGACCCATCCAAGCTCACTGAGAAGGACTTGCAGGACTGTGCGCATGGCTTTGTCTTGGGTTTGCACTTTTGAAAGAAGCGCAGTATCCGGGCCCTGGCCAGGTTTGGTGTCTGTGTGAGTAAATCTTCCCGTGACATTTGGTCCCCAAACTTCGCCCCAAATCTGTGGAGCCACGAGGGGAATGTGGGTACTGGAGGTTCCACCTGTCGGTGGACCCCTTTTTGGCAAATTGGACCCCAAAATGAATTGTGGTGTTCCTTTTGGTTCTCTGTAAACCTCCTTAAGAGTGAAACTTCACCAGGCGATGTGTTGAACATTAATCTCTCTCTCTCTCTCTCGGGACGGCCAATAGGTTTGTGCTGCGGCAAAGAGCTTGGACTTGTGGACGTGAGTTGGGATTCGCTTGAAACCGAACCTTTCGCCACTCCCGTGGCTTGGGTCATGGAGCAAAGAGACCCCAGCTGAACAGTTTGCAGTGCGCTGGTGTTTTCACCTCAGCGGCGCCCAAAGCCCAGCGAGGGCCGTTGCCAGGTTAGAAGGGGTTCAAAAGGGTCCGATAGAGTTTCCACAGGGTTGGGGCGATAAAGCCCTTTACATCCGTCCCATTTCGTAGAATCTGCAGTTTTACGAATTTTGGGAGGCTAGCAAAGACGACGGAGCAGCGCGTGAGGATGGATTCTCAGCTCAAGAGATCTTCAACTCGAACACGAACATGAGCGGCTACACCTACGATGACCTTATTTGCCTGCCTGGCCACATCAACTTCGGAGTGCACGACGCCAGCTTAGCCGGCTTTTCAATGAACTGCCAAGCAACGAATCGCACTTGTGATCTCTCAGAGCTTCAACTTGAATCGACTTCAAACCGAAACAAATGTTTTTGTGAAGCTCTTTCCTGGCGATGTTCTCCCGGACTGAGGATGTGTGTTTGTCTTCTCGCTTCAGTCGCAAGATCCACTTGAAGACGCCCATCGTGTCCAGTCCCATGGACACCGTCACGGAGTCGAACATGGCCATCGCCATGGCCTTGGAAGGCGGGAGAAAAGGGGGGATATGTTTGTTCACCGATCTAGTTTTGTTTTTGTTTAATGTTGTTGTTGTTGTTTTTGTTGTGTGTGTGTGTGCATGTGTGTGTGTGTGTGTGTGTGTGTGTGTGTGTGTGTGTGTGTGTGTGTGTGTGTGTGTGTGTGTGTGTGTGTGTGTGTGTGTGTGTGTGTGTGTGTGTGTGTGTGTGTGTGTGTGTGTGTGTGTGTGTGTGTGTGTGTGTGTGTGTGTGTGTGTGTGTGTGTGTGTGTGTGTGTGTGTGTGTGTGTGTGTGTGTGTGTGTGTGTGTGTGTGTGTGTGTGTGTGTGTGTGTGTGTGTGTGTGTGTGTGTGTGTGTGTGTTAAGGGGAGCCCTAATGTTTACGGCCAATCCATGTGATCGCCAATCCATGTTTACAGCCAATCCCAACACTCCTCGGGACGAATGCAAATTGCTGCGCGGGGCCGGAGATAATTCTAAACCTAAACCCAAAACCTGCACCCTAAGCCTCACAGGTCCTAACGCGTGGTCTGGGGATAGCTTTGTGTTTTTGTTTCGGCCCGAACAATAGTTTTTGTTTTTTCCATTTGGTTTCCATTCAAACTTCGATCCCAGCAAAACAAGTACCGAACCCCAAACGAGCACCCATTTGAAAGCCCATTTGGCCCATTTGGATGCGCGCATGCTATTTCTCGCCATCAAAAAGGGCGCTGGGGGAGTAATAGGAATAGTATTGGGACGTTCCCCCCGGACGAATGCAGTCTCCCTGCAAAACGAGAACAAGCAAAAAGCAAACAATAGCCATCGGTAAGACGTGAGCGCGTGAGACTTGACTCGGGAGCTGCAGTTCGGCTGTGTGTATGGTTTAAGGCCTGAACCTGTTCGGAAACAAGCAGTTGTCCCTACTGCGTATTTGCGCAGTAGCGATCAGGAGTAACAAAAATGTAAGCCCGAAACGGATCATGCACGTTGTAAGCCCTTTCTCAACCCTTTTAGTGCTTTCAGCATTATCTCTGTCGCTGGTGACAATCGGGTCGGGGTGTGAACAATTTGGTTTTGCCTTCGTCCGAGGCGGAATCGGGGTGATTCACACCAACCTAAGCATCGAGGCACAGGCGAATGAAGTGGCTCGTGTCAAGAAGTACAAGGCTGGCTTCATCCTGGACCCAGCGCCTCGATTTAGATGCAGAGCGAGTGGGTCAGCCGTTGGACGGGCGTTTTGCTACAGGAGACAATGGCCAGTCAAAAACCACCCTGTGATACCGGCGGATTTGGAGGATCCCCTTGTAAAGCAGCTGGTTTTTGATGTTTGAGGAATAGTTTTGCCAAAATGCGGGCAGGGGCTCAAACGAGCAGTTTCTTTAGTCCCCTGGAAGAAGCCCAAAGCAGGGCTTGAAAGAGTGGCTCAAACATGTTCTAGCCGGGGCTTTCCTTTGAGACCGCCAGAGAGGTGTGACAAACACGTAAGCGGCTGTGAGTCTGTGCACGCTGCTCTGTTTGAAGGCTTCGGGAAGGTGCACATTTTTTTCTTGGGGCCTTCCCTCTCCGCGGATTCAGTTCGCTTTCTTTTGCTGAGGGCTGTGGGTAAAAAGATCGGTCCCCCAAAAAGGAACCCTGGTACACGGACGCATGCCACCGAAGCCCGCGGTCCTCTGGCGGTTTTTTTGAGCCATGCCCAGGTGTGCGTGCCACCGACCATGACGCTGGAGCAGCTTGACACCTTGAAGAGCAAGCTGGGCTTCACAGGCTTTCCGGTGACCGAGAGCGGGCACATGGGTGCCAAGCTGCTTGGCCTGGTCACCAAGCGAGACACCGACTTCATTCAGGACTGACCTGTTGACCCCACTTCCTAAGTAGAATTCACCCCTCAGAACTCAAAAACACGAAAAAAGATATTCGGGGCCCAAAAATATGATTTGGATTTGCTTCCCACTTAATGGGGACACTTTACAATCTAGATTGACTAGGGGTTTATCATAAATCCGGGGGTTCCCATCAAGACTCGGAGGAAACAACCGTTTGTAACCTGTGCTGACTGCGAGCGAGCCATTTTCCTGAAGCGATGGAGGTCGCTTCAAAGGCTTCGTTTCCAAAGGCTTCGCTCGACGGCAGGACCGGCAGACCCGGCTGAGCGCCATCATGACGCCGGTGAAGGACTTGGTCACCGCGGAGGAGGGCCGGGAATGGACTTTCAAAGGCCCTGGAGCAGGAAAATCTGCAGGGCGTGGCCCCAAAACACCCGAAACAAGCTGTTTTTTTTTTTGTAGAATGTCCCTTCATCTCAAACAGTTGCCCAGTCACCCCGGCCTCCCGGCCTTGGATGTGTGAAGACTCGGCCATGCATGTGTAACTTCGAATCCTTCAGGAGGGCATCGAACTGCAGACGGCGAACCAGCTGCTGCAGAAGTCCAAGAAGGGAAAGCTCCCGATCCTCACCAAGGGCGGCTTGCTGGTGGCTCTGGTGGCCCGAACGGATATCAAGAAGAACGTGGAGTTCCCCAATGCGACCAAGGACTCCACGGCCGCGTGACCAAGGGGCAAATATGTCGTGTCTCGCGAAAACCCTTTTGTTTTTGAGATTTGGGTATGGGTAGCAATTCAACCACCATGAATTGGACCGCAGGTGTGCGTTCTTTCCCATTTACCGATCCGGATTTCCACCCATTTGGGGGTTACCCTATTTCTCACTTGCCCAAAGCCGACCTTTCGACCGTTTGGTTTGCTCCTTTTGGCAACCATTCGTCATGGCCCCCCCCAAAACAAGGGGGGGGGAAGGGGGGAAAAAGGAACCTAAATCCGCAGCCATGTCGGAGTTGGCTCCAGGACCCCAACAACAAGCAGCTTCTGGTGGCCGCGGCCATCGGCACCAGACAAAACGACCAGGACAGGGTGAAGGCGCTGGTGGCTGCAGGCGCGCGCCGGAAAATGGCGGTTTGCGCCGGGCGCCGGGTTTGGAGGGGTGAAGTGGGACCCAAGCACTTTGGGAAAAAAAAGAGTAGAACGAAGAAAAAAAGGGGAAACAAGAAAAACTGTTGTTGCTTTTTAAGCCAGCATGTTCATATATGGGTGAAGATGCAGTTGTTGAACTGCCAAACAAGAGTCATGACTGGAATGGAGTGGTGCAAGCAAATCGGCGATTGTTTGGCGGCCAACTGACAAAACGGACATGTTGTATGAGGCGTGGATGCCGTCATCATCGACAGCAGCCAGGGCGACAGCGTGTTTCAGCACCAAATGGTGAAATGGATCAAGACCACCTTCCCAAACGTTCAGGCCGGTCAGGGCTGATTTTGCATATACACCTTCATTAGAATACATTTGTATATTTTACACACACCGCTATGTGCACTACATATATCCACTTTGGTGATAAGCATTACCTGGCCAAATTGAGAGAGTGAGTTTCGGTGGGGAGGAGAATCAGGGGCGCCCTTTTCTCCCATAAAAGGGGTTTGCTAAGGGCCCTCCCCTGAACCCCCCAGATGAGTTTTTGTTGGGATGTCTCATGTTGCCTGCAGGTTGGTTTGGGTTGGTTGGATTTGAAGCCCTTAAGGAAGCCAAATGGGGAAGGTACAGGTCCAAACCAATCCAAACTGAGGGAATCAGGCGAGACTCGGCGTTAAAAATGGCGCTGTGGCCGCGAACCGCACAGGTGGTGGCGGGGAATGTGGTGACCAAGCAGCAAGCCAAGCACCTCATCGAGTGCGGCGCGGACGCGCTGCGGGTCGGCAACTGGGATTGCCTATGGCTGGGTTTGTGTCTTGAGAAGCCCAGAAGGGAGAAGCAGAATGGTTTCGGTTTGGTTCAGAAGAACATCCTTTTCAGGTTTAAGGGGAAACCAGAAGGAACACCCCATTTGGGGGGGTCCGAAACCTTTCGTTTTGCCAGTCACTGGGTTTTGAGGGCTTCTCAAAATGAGTCACTTTCTCGGAGCCAGCTCAACTTCCCTTTTGGACCTCGAGAGGCTGTTTCCTCTGCGGCCATTCCCCGATCCCGGGGTATAGCAGATAGAAGATTCTTGAGAGCTGCTTTCATGACAATGCCAGAGGTGTGTCCCGGTTCATGTGGGCCCAGTGTCCTGCACGAGCTAAGCTGATGCAGTTGAAGTGATTCTTGGCTGACAATCCAACTAAAGTCGATTCAATGCTCGGCTTGAGTGCAAAGGACCAACCGTCAGTCGCGGGTCACTGGGATTTTCCTGGCTTGCAATTTATGAGCATGGAAGTGGATAAAGGGGTTGCCCAAAAGGAAAATAGTCTTCCAAAACCCTCCTGTCAGCTTCCATGATTGTTGGAGGGAGGGTACCCATCAAATTAAAAGCCAGAAGCCGACTTTTGGTTGGGTTTACAGAGAACCCAAGAAGGAGGCCAGCCATTTTGGGTCTCGTGAGAACCCGCAAGACGCCTAGGCATGGGCATTGGCTCCATTTGCACTACACAAGAGGTGTGTGCATGCGGCAGAGCCCAGGCCGGGATGGCCGGCGTGTTTTTTGCTTGCCGGCCTTTGACCCGCTTTTTGCATGCTTCAAGCGATTCGTCTTGACGCTCTTTTGATCCAAAATGGATGCCTCGGCTTTTGGCCGTTGTTTTTTTTGTTTTGTTTTTTTTCTTTTCTTTTTTTTCCGTCTGGAGACGCATGCGATAAGTCCGGGATCTGCATTCAGGCCTCCGCAGTGTACAACGTTGCGAAGCTGGCAGCCCTCTATGATGTGCCCATTTTGGCAGATGGACTCTTGGCGTCGAGGTGTGCTCGTTTAACAGGCCAGACTGGGTTACTTCAAGAGTTCCAGGGGTTCCGAAAACGCGATCCGCCCGATTTCGGCAGATCCAAATTCCCCTGGTGGTTGCAGGGTTTGAGAACCCTTGGAATCACCAGGGGAATTTGGATCCGCCGAAATTTCGGACTTTTCTCGCGTTTTCTCGCGCGACGAGAGACTCAGGCGGGATCTCCAGCCCGGGGCACATTGTGAAAGCCTTGAGCCTCGGTGCCGGCGCCGCCATGTGCGGCAGTTTGCTCGCAGGCGCCTTCCTTCGATTCGGAGTCGCGCGGATTCCGATTCGAGCACGAATTACCCTCCCGAACATGGCACCCACGAAGGTCCCTTCAAGAGATTGATCTTCCAGGTACCCTCCCACAAATGCCATGTGAGTGGAAGGAAGGGTAGCATAGAGAAGGGTTTTGGATGATGACCATCTTGAAAAGGCCCCGCACCTCCGCTTCCAGCAGTGTTGGACAATGCAGATGTGGCCAAATGTTGCAAATAGGACCAGAGTTCCTGATTATACTTGACCAGCTGTGGGTTTGTTCACTTGCAACTGGACATGTCAGAGACTGACTGACTGCGTGACTGGTTGACTGGTTGACTGGTTGACTGACTGACTGACTGGCTGGCTGGCTGGCTGGCTGACTGACTGACTGACTGACTGACTGGCTTATTATCGGCTGGATGCTGGATCTCGTGAGGCACATCGGAGACACCCGGGGAGTACTTCTACTCTGAGGACGGCAAGCGATTAAAGCGCTACCGCGGAATGGGCTCCATCGACGCCATGAAGAAGGCTCGTGTGAAACCAATTCGGATGTGAAACCGTGCCTCATAGAAATCGTTTTTTACCAAAACATGGCAAAGGTGTCCTTGTTGGTTTCGTTTTCAATACAAATTGATCTTTGGGGGTTCTCAAATAGGAATCGGTTGCCATGTCCCAAAATGTTCAACGGCGTCCTTTTGGTTTCCCTTGCAATGTCAGGACTTTTCCGAATCCCATGTTGAGAATGGTCCAGTCTGAGCTGAGAGACTGCAAGCCTTCAATTAGGAATCAAAACCGATTCGACTCCGCAGAAATGGGGAGGGACAGACCAACCATGATAGCTTTGAGAACATTTGGCGACACGGCCTTTTGATTGTTTATCATGGGGCTTTGGGTAGGTTTTTTTGATCGGTTTTGATGTGTGACGCTGGCAGACTGAAGGTACTTTACGTTCCGCTTCACTTGATATGGCTTTGGTACCCTTTTCAGTGTTTGTTGTTTTTGTTTTTGGGGGGAGAAGCCAAAAGGAAGACCCACCGATTTCTTTGATTTTTAATCCCTATGACATTGACATCCCCACATTGCCAGGGCTCGGATGACAGATACTTCGGAACCACCTCCGCGATCAAGGTTGCTCAGGCGGCAGCACAGTTGACATTTGGATGCTGCCCTGAAAGTAGGTGCGTTACTTCCTGTCCCATTTGCGAGCATGCTCAATCTGACTAGCGGACACATGTGTGATGAGCAACGGACAAATTCTTGGCAATCGATTTGTTTGGGGAGGAGATGTAGGGCGCACCCAATGTTTTCATACCCTCCGGGGAGCACAAGTAGTTCTGTCCGGAGCTGCTCGTCATGCTTGTCATGCTTGTCATGCTTGTCATGCTTGTCATGCTTGTCACCCGCTCCCTGTCAGGGTGTCTCTGGCACAGTCCAGGACAAGGGCAGCATTCACAGATACATCCCGTACCTGACCCAGGGCCTGAGACATGGCATGCAGGACGCTTCGAGTGCAGAGCATGTGCGCGCTGAAAAGAGACCTTTGTTTGGCAGGGGTTGTTATAACCCTTTGGTGGGCAGTTCAGACAAGCCATTCGAATGGTTCACGAATTCTTATTTCGGGAGCCATGAGATTTGGAGTTTTGATGCCAGGACATTGGAGCTCAGAGTGTCCAACAGCTGCAATCCATGCTCCAGGACCCTTTCCGGTGATGTACTGGGGGCTCCTTTTGGATGCTGTTTCTTTTCCATTGCAAAGGCAGCCAAACATTTTGGTGGTAGAATTGGCCACCATGTATTCTGGTCCAGGTTTCACTTATTTGCGCCCCGAGAAAAGGTGACTTCTTGAGCCTGAGGCCTCACGAGTTGAAGAGGGGCCGTTAGCCGCGTCCGTTTTCATCGGCAAGCGATCAGCTAAACCTGGTGTTCCCCATCCATGCGGTCCTTTAGCTTAATAGAATTTCAGCTTTTAGTTGGGATTTCCTTTAAAAGTCCAACTTTTCGCGGATCCGAACGCGGAGAGCTTCACCCAAGGTTTCGGTTCGATTCGCCTCGGTTTCAGCTTTCCGGGGCCCTACGAAACGAGCGGGTGAAGGCCTTAAGAAGGCCTTATGAAGGGCATATCCGGGGATCCCCAGAAATTGATAGGTGAACCCTGCGAGTTCAAACCATGAAAACCAAAGTCGACATTAATGTTTAAAAGAAACAAATCGCTAGAAGGAGTCCCTGAAGAAGGCCTTGTTGGCTTATCCTTGGCTGATGGGCTTAAGCATGGTTGTTGCTGGGAAACATTTTGCATGTTAGCTTATTTTGGTTTAGTGGTTGAAATCCAAATCCACTTAACTGCTAAATGTTAACTGTTTGCTCCCCTTCCAACGTCAACCAAGTAAGGGGTTTCATCCGAATTCTCACTTCCTAGGTTCACGAACTTTAAACTTTTGGGGAAGACCATTTTAGTGGTAAATCTAAAGTTTGAACTTTTTTTGGGCCATCCACTCAGCAAGTGAGAATTGGGTCCTTGCCGTTCTTTTCAATGGAGGTTTTGGGTTTGCTTCAGCCCGCCAGGCGGGGCAGCTGCGATTCGAGCTGCGCTCCGCCGCAGCGCAGCGGGAGGGGGGCGTGCATGGCTTGCACAGCTTCGAGCGTCCCTTGGAGCGAAAAAGGAAAAAAACAAAAAACAAAAACAACGAATGGTGGGATTCGGATGGTGGGATATGCGGGTGTTGGATAGAAAACCTCATTTGATGTTTGTTGGGATATGTGGGTTTTGGATAGAAAACCTCACTTGTAGTTTGTTGTTTTTCTTGTTGGGGGGGGTCCCCCCCGAAAGCAAAACATCCAAATGGCGGGTGTGTCTAAAATTGCGGAGCCAATAAAAGAGCCCTGAGCATCGCTTTCCGCTGATGTTCAACATGGAGTTAGGCAGGTGTGTCTATTTGTTTGAGGGTACCCTTGGGTTGGTATGTAAAAGGAAGCCAAAAGGAACAGAAATATTATGGAAGCAAAATCGGCAGACGGACGCTCGCATGTCTTTTGCCGTTTTTTCGTGGATGATCCTGCAACTTTGCAACTTGTCTCAGTGGCTTGATTCTGAATGATATTTTGCCATACATGGTTCGATCAAACAGTTTGATGCATTAGCAAGTCGATGTCGCCAAATGGAAGCCAGTGGAGGATTGTGCTTTTCCCTCAACACCAAGCTGTGTTATCAATAGGGCTTTGATTTTGATCAGAGGGGCGATTGCCCGAGCAAGACACCCTCTTTGTTGGTTTGAGGTCGTGAAACACGTGCTGTCCGCTGTTTAATGCTGGAAGTTCAACTCGGCTGGCAGATGCTGCTGATTTTGCGGGATGCCAAGGCAAACTATTCGACTCCTGAGCTCGTGTACCAATTCCTGCATGTTTAAGCTCTCCAGATGTCAGCATTTCTGGACCGCCTATCT